CATCACCTTAAACGAAATAGGATGAGCACAGCTCATATATCTGATTAAATGGTAGTCTCGAAAATTTACTCGTAACGAAAAACTATTATAGTACATATATAGAGGTCCTCCTTATATAGATGACCGCATATGTATAACCAATATTCAACCAAGTTATATATAACCGGATCAAGCATTTAGCAACGAATAAATTATACCTTTAAGAGAAAGGTAAAAAATAAAAATCTTTTGATTTAGTTTGAGCAGGTATCGATACTACTCGTAGAACTTGATTAAAGGCTGTATTCACCCTTGATCGAACAATGCGATGGATGAGTTGGCCTCACGAAGCAGTTGAATTTCACTTACAATTGCTTCCCACAAGGTATTTTCGTACCGACTGGCCTGTACTGTAATTTCAATCTCGTCTGGGCCTTATCTACACCCTCTGGTGACAGAATATCGAAATTGTACTTTGTTCTACCCGAGTTTACTTTTTGCTGGGGGCGCTGGTGAGGCCTGAGTGATGTAGAAAGTGCAGTAAACCATGCATCAGAATACATTCTAGAAAAAGAGCTGAGCGAAATTAAATAGCCTCGTAATGCCTACTCATCTCGTAAGAGGAAAATTTAAATAGCATCAACTTATGAGACCTAAGATGAATAAGATTCTATTTATAAACACTTTCCATAATCAAGTATAAACATTTAAAAATGTAATTTTATAGACAACAAACAGGTTAAAAATCAACATATGAATTTAAAAAGAAATTAGATGTAAAATTCATCTCTCGTATGAGCTATAATAGCAGTAACAAATAATAAATACTTTATTGTGAAGAGTAAACAAATTTCAGAATACCCACTGTCTATGAGAAAAGTAACTCATTTGCAAAAGGATTAAAAATCCAAAGGCAAGAAAAATCACGGAGTAACCTAATTAATATATCAGAGAAGAAGTTAGATTTGGAGGAATATCTTGATTGAAAAATCATAAACTTGCGCTCATTTCAATCAAAAGAATTTTAGGAAGAGATTAGAAGACGATTAACAAAAGACAGAATTTTTCAAATACTTTCGTCTTGTTTATAACCGACCCACAAGAAAAGAAATCTCGGACCAGTTCAGCTCCTTTTACAAGCTCAGGCACTTACTACTTCTCGCCAAAACAATTTCGAGACATCAAACCTATGAGCATGATCTTTCATTTCATTCGTAAACAGTTTAGTTCAGTACTATAAATAGTTCTTTGAGAAGAACTTGAATCATTTTAGATCGCTTGAAATGCAATCAGGATTGGAAGTGGCATTTCCCCCAATAAAAAGAAGAGGCATCAGAACGCCAAAGAATTTCATGCACTAATTTTGGGTAGGAATAAGAGCTTTGATCATCCGAGGTTGCTTCGGCTGATGAAGGACTGATTGTGATTCACACAAAATGAGATGAGAAGATCTCATCATGCCATTACATTTCACATAGCTCGTATTATATTGCTATTGATAGCCTCGAAATTCTACTCGCATGTGAAAGAGTATGCTCATAGGTTTAATGTCTCAAAATTGTTTCGGCGAGAAGTAGTATGTGCCTGATCTTGCAAAGTGAGCTGGACTGGTCCAAGATTTCTTTTCCTGTTGGTCGGTTATAAAAAAGACGAAAGTATTTGAAAAATGCTCCATTTTGCAAGATATTAAATGAGGACGATGCCTTCCATAAAGGATAGTAAGTTTCTTTTCATACAAGTCTTATGTATGATGACTTTTCCGTCCTCAAGGAGGAAATGTCTTAGAATACATATGAATTTGCTTGATGTCCTGAGTATGAAACTATCAAATTCTTTGTTACTCATTGTTAAAATGGCATATAGCTGGTTGACTGGTTGGTTTCACATATAGACTTTCTAGACTACCAGTAGATCGAAAATAGTAGAGCCTAATATGCACAATTTATTTAAGTTGGTAAGCCTCTACTAATACAATTTTCCTGAAATCATTTGAATAGGTCTCATAGTTCCTCTGAATTGCACACATCCTTAAGTTCCGAAAGCTATTCTCATTCATCCAGGCATGGACTGAAGTTTCGACCTATCCTGGGTATCATCAGCACACCCGGCGGGATTTGATCTCTGGTC